GGTGTGTGCCCGAGCCCCTTTCACCACAGGTGTTCAGGGAAGGTGTCACCGCAGGAGCTCTGAGCTGCTCTGCAGGTCTCCCGGGTACCCACAGATGAGACGCCAGTGCCTTTTTGTGTGAACCCGCAGACAATGTCCCTGCAGATCTCATCTTTGTACTTATGCGTTGTTGTCAAACCTTTCTGTTAGGGAAAGCGTTTCATCCAGGAGTATGCAGTCATTCTTATGTAAGGATGCAGAAAGCATCGGTTTGCTTGACGGCCTCGCGTACATTGTGTGTGGCATTTTCCTCTTGAACATAGAAATAAAAGTGCATCTTGGTGGGATGAAGTGACCTGTGCGTAAACCTGTTTGCTACCGCAGCGTGTTTGCACAGATCCCCTCAACCCAATCCCTCCTCTCCGAGTTACAACCTACAGGCATGGACGTAGGTACCATTTCAGGTGGCAGCTGCAGATACCTGGTGAGCTCAGCATTGAGGTGGGTAACAGGCTGCGTTTATTCTGCTATTTGGTCCCAAAACGTTGTAAGAGGCTTTTTTCATTCTCTGACAATTCTCCCAACTATGGCTTTAAGAAACTGTATCAGATGCTGATATGGACCCAAGAAAAGGATGCCAGTAATTGGCAATGCTGGGTGACCTGGGAGACTGCATTGAGGTTGAAGGGCATGGTAGATCATCTTCGTTCTGGGGTAATCCAAAAAGCAATTAAGTTTCTTTATGGAGCATGACAGCTGAAAGAATAAAAGCCATAAACCGGTACAGCAACCAGATAGAAAACTTGAGCAAAAGCTAATAAATAATAAGAGGAGTTTCTCTTGCAACTGAAGAAAATTAAAAAGCTGAGGCACTGACTAGATTGTATGTGAGAAGCATAAAGCTGCCAGAAAACAGAGCAGACGAGGGAATAAATTAGCATGATCTCGAGAAGGAGCTTGAACTTGGGAAACATAAGCAAGGGATTTGGCACTGGTTATTAGTTCCTCAAGATCTTTAGGAATAAACAGGATCATATCAAATACATCCAACTCCCTTCTCTGTTGCTCTTCCAAATATTGGCTGATTACCTGGGCCAGAGGGGCAAGAGTAAAGTCTGTAACTGTGCATGCAGCTGTAACAGAATGAAGGTGTGCTGTGCCACTGTAGCATAGATCCATAGGTTCATTCTCCCTGAAAGAGCAGCTTTACAAATCATGGCAATTCCTATGACACTGTAACTAGTTCGTAGCAGGGATTGGCGGTGTTGCGACTCTGCTGACTTGCCTGCACACAGGAGACCTCAATAACCATGCCTGCAAATTGTGAAAATCTTTACGTTAACCAGTAGGGCAAGATCTTATTTCATGTAAGGAGGGGTTGCGTTGTTGTCAAACCTTTCTGTTAGGGAAAGCGTTTCATCCAGGAGTATGCAGTCATTCTTATGTAAGGATGCAGAAAGCATCGGTTTGCTTGACGGCCTCGCGTACATTGTGTGTGGCATTTTCCTCTTGAACATAGAAATAAAAGTGCATCTGGTGGGATGAAGTGACCTGTGCATAAACCTGTTTGCTACCGCAGCGTGTTTGCACAGATCCCCTCAACCCAATCCCTCCTCTCCGAGTTACAACCTACAGGCATGGACGTAGGTACCATTTCAGGTGGCAGCTGCAGATACCTGGTGAGCTCAGCATTGAGGTGGGTAACAGGCTGCGTTTATTCTGCTATTTGGTCCCAAAACGTTGTAAGAGGCTTTTTTCATTCTCTGACAATTCTCCCAACTATGGCTTTAAGAAACTGTATCAGATGCTGATATGGACCCAAGAAAAGGATGCCAGTAATTGGCAATGCTGGGTGACCTGGGAGACTGCATTGAGGTTGAAGGGCATGGTAGATCATCTTCGTTCTGGGGTAATCCAAAAAGCAATTAAGTTTCTTTATGGAGCATGACAGCTGAAAGAATAAAAGCCATAAACCGGTACAGCAACCAGATAGAAAACTTGAGCAAAAGCTAATAAATAATAAGAGGAGTTTCTCTTGCAACTGAAGAAAATTAAAAAGCTGAGGCACTGACTAGATTGTATGTGAGAAGCATAAAGCTGCCAGAAAACAGAGCAGACGAGGGAATAAATTAGCATGATCTCGAGAAGGAGCTTGAACTTGGGAAACATAAGCAAGGGATTTGGCACTGGTTATTAGTTCCTCAAGATCTTTAGGAATAAACAGGATCATATCAAATACATCCAACTCCCTTCTCTGTTGCTCTTCCAAATATTGGCTGATTACCTGGGCCAGAGGGGCAAGAGTAAAGTCTGTAACTGTGCATGCAGCTGTAACAGAATGAAGGTGTGCTGTGCCACTGTAGCATAGATCCATAGGTTCATTCTCCCTGAAAGAGCAGCTTTACAAATCATGGCAATTCCTATGACACTGTAACTAGTTCGTAGCAGGGATTGGCGGTGTTGCGACTCTGCTGACTTGCCTGCACACAGGAGACCTCAATAACCATGCCTGCAAATTGTGAAAATCTTTACGTTAACCAGTAGGGCAAGATCTTATTTCATGTAAGGAGGGGTTCGTCATGGACCAGGACACCTCTCAGTCTTACAGTAAGGCAAAGGAAATTGGGGTGGAGGGAAGTATAACATGACATTCAATTGGGAAACGCAGTCTTGAAAATGAATGTTCTTGAATTTAAAAATAGTGCTTATTCCAGTATAACTCTTGATTGTGTGTAGATTTTGGTTTTGTTCCTCTTTCTCTTCAGCTCCTCCTAAACCCTCATCTTCCCATCCAGCTGCGATGTCTTGTGTTCAGAGGTGCTGCAAGGGTTGGAGGCGTCCTGGGCTCTGTGACTCATTTGATGCTTAATGCCTCCGTGATGCAGACCTCCCAGTGTGATCTGGCATGTCAGGCCTCCCCATGTTTACTTTCCCCCACCAGGCCTGCTCCACCTTTCTTCTGCCCAAAGCCACCCCTCAACAGGGATTTGTAATTTAATGTGCATTTTGCCCAGCAGCTTCTACAGCAGAGGCCCAGCTTGGTGAGGCTCTACTCACTGTCACAGTGACATTGCCTAAAAATAAGAGGTAACAAATCTGCTGAAGAGATAATAAAAATAAACATTGTCTTATCCGTGAATAACAGCAGTCTTTGGATCACAATGAATATCTAAAAAAAAGTGCATTGTGGTTAAATATTGTGAGGAGCGTAAGACAGCGTTCTTCAGTGTCATATGGCACGTTATACAATTCACAGCCTACATTTCATAAATTATCAGTTTATTGTGTTGCCAGTCCTACTCAATAAAGTCAAGTCTTTCCTTTTCTAATCAACATGTTTTAAATATTAAATAGGTTTAGTACACTTTGGATGATACCTTCTACCGGCCTCTGAATCTTGTGGGAGCTGCTTAGCTGCAAGGCACAGAGTGACGCTCTTTTGGGTCACTGTAAACAGAGAGGCGAGACACTGAGGAGGAAACATGTCAGTGAGTACATTGGAAAAAAGGTGATAATTTAAACCAGGGTCGGTCTGGAAATGATGATCTGACAGTAGACAGAATCCTTTAGGGAGAGAAACACCTATCCTACCAGGGCAGCCAGACTGGGAGCTGAGCATAAAACTAATTTTGGAGGTTTATTTGAAGTTAATGGTAGTGCAGCTGGGCAGGGATGGATGAATCCCCCGGCTGAGGCAGGCTGCGCATCTCTGTCTTCACAACCACTTCCCGCGCTAGAATAACGTGTGCTGCTGGCCACTGGCAGCTCTGTTCCTGGGGCTTTGCCAGCATGGGCTGCTGTGGCGAGGCAGCCTGCT